TTTTCAATAAGTTCCTAAAAGGTTTCTGGTAAAATAAAATTAACTATCATATTCTCAAAATCTTCACTAATTATATTTCTATCTACATTTTCATTAAAGTTTTCTGATTGAGAAATATTGTTAGAAGAATAACTACTATTTTCTTCAAAATCTATGTTTTAAATTTATTGTTCTTCAATTATACTTTCTTCGAAAATTTTTGAATATTAATCATTTATTTATTCTTTTTCAAATGGAATCTCAATTATGTTTTCTTCATCAATTTGTTACATTTTACTTTTTAAAATAATTTATTTTTTGAGTTAAGAATTTTATAATTGTTAAAATAGTCATTTTTAATCCGTATTAATTTTTATTAATATATTAATATTTTTTTTAGTTAATCATTTTAATATGCATTATTCGAAAATTTGATTTATTTTATAATATTTTTAATCATAACATTTAATTTGTGATTGTATCTACTAAAACGTGCAAAATAAAAAATCTATAATAAGTATTATTTTTAATTCAATAATGTTCAATATTTATGATTTTCAAAATCAGATATATTGTTTAATAAATTTTTCTTATTTTACTCCTTTTAAATATTTACCACTTCTAATCACACGATAATTGCTGATATAATATATAAATTAATTACTTTTAAAATCTTGAATGCAATTCTCTCCAAAATCCTTATTTATATCCAAATTAATCATATTACCCTCCACCACTAATATTAATTACGAGTAAAAACTATACATAATTTATGTTATATGGGAACTTATATGAATTAATTTCCATAGCCCAAATTTAATTCCATTTTAATAATTACCTTGATAAATCACTTAAAGATTTCTAATTTATAATAAAAGAAAGAAATAATTATTACTCTTCAAAACAGAAACATAATTCTGTCCATTTTCCAACCTTCATTCCTTTTTCATTATAATAACCTTCAAATCTTAAAAATTATCATAAGTATCAAAATATTAATTACTTAAAAAAGTCTTCATTCTCGTCATTTTAAATAATACTATTCCAAATACCAACTTTGATATTTTGATTATAAAATCCATAATTTACTATTTACTAAAACCTGTTGATTATGTGTTATTTATTACCCGTTGAATTTTTCATCTATTTCAACTTATTTTTTCATTTTCACATTCTCTACATATTACCCTATACCTCTATATAATTTAATTAAAATTCTTTAACATTAATTTATTTTCAAAAAACGTCTCCCACACACCAATTTTTTTTCCTTAACTGTAATGTCCTTTATGAACTACTTCACATAGACTTTTCATTAATTATATTAATTTACTTTCTAAAATTATAATGAGGTTCTATCCAATATCCTTTCTTCTCACCTGCTTTATTATAAAACCCACCTCCTCTAATTATTTATATATTTTTTATATACATTTATTCAATTAAATATTGATCTCCAATATACTAATTATATAAAATTTTCCAATAACCTTCTTTAATATTTGATTCATAATAACCTTTGTAAAATAACTGGCAATCGCTATATTAAAATATTATGTAATACAATTAAAAGTTATCAAACAATTCTCTCCACAAGCCAACTTTACAAAAATTATCATCATAATATCCTCCTCCTCTAAAAAAATATTAATAATTATAATAACATATTTTAAGTAATTGAATTATATTATTCTCTAAGCAGTATATTCCATTTGTTTACTCTTTTACCAGCTATATATTAGCCAACCTCAAAAACTTGATATTTTCTTAAAAATATCATCTATTTTTTACTTAGAAAATAAATCTGTTAATTCGTGCCAATACCCACATTTTAATCCATCTATATAAACACCACAATAACTAATTATAAAATTTCAAAACTAGTACATTATCGTATTGAAGCACAAATAACTCCAAAGCCCGATTTTTAAATCATTCTAATACTGACCTTCTTCTAATATATAATGTTATCTAACTCACTAAATATATATGATTACCTTGTAAAATTTAAGAACAATTCTATCCATTTATCTTATTTTCTTCCTAAATTGTCATAAAATCCACCAGCTCTTATTATATATACAGTTTGATTACATTGTTTTATTGAAAGATTTATATTTCCAAAGTCCATTTCTTTTTCCATCCTAATAATTTCCAACAAATGTGATATAAGTACATCTATTTTCTTATAAAATTTAACTTTAAAAAATTTTGATGTAACTCTTTCCAATAACCTACTTTAATTCCATCATTATTTATTAAACCTCCAGCCTTTAATTCTTTACCATTCCAATAATATTAGATCTATTTTAATTAGAATAATTTGATTTCATTTGTAATGATAACTAAATTTTTTAATTAATCTATATGAGGAGGTTTGTTCAAAATGTAAATTTTTTCCTCTAATTCTAGTCTAAAAAAAATAAATTTAATATTCTTCACATCTTTAACATTTGTCCATCTTAAATAATATAAAATTGTCCNAGGTAATTGAATGAGTGAAAACATTCACTCGTTTGATAATTATTTTCAATTATTCAAGTAAAAAGATTTACCTATTTTACTTTACAAACAATAAAATAATTATTACTTTATAATTTTTATTTGTTTTAACCTTGTTTCAAGATATGAAATATAAATTTCCACTCATCATGAACATATATTAGAACTTTGCATGAAGTACGATTAGTCTCGCATTTATTACATTCCAGGAATCTATAGTATATGAAGTTTAAAATTATAAATCATACTGTGTAAGGTAATTGAATGAGTGAAAACATTCACTCGTTTGATAATTATTTTCAATTATTCAAGTAAAAAGATTTACCTATTTTACTTTACAAACAATAAAATAATTATTACTTTATAATTTTTATTTGTTTTAACCTTGTTTCAAGATATGAAATATAAATTTCCACTCATCATGAACATATATTAGAACTTTGCATGAAGTACGATTAGTCTCGCATTTATTACATTCCAGGAATCTATAGTATATGAAGTTTAAAATTATAAATCATACTGTGTAAGGTAATTGAATGAGTGAAAACATTCACTCGTTTGATAATTATTTTCAATTATTCAAGTAAAAAGATTTACCTATTTTACTTTACAAACAATAAAATAATTATTACTTTATAATTTTTATTTGTTTTAACCTTGTTTCAAGATATGAAATATAAATTTCCACTCATCATGAACATATATTAGAACTTTGCATGAAGTACGATTAGTCTCGCATTTATTACATTCCAGGAATCTATAGTATATGAAGTTTAAAATTATAAATCATACTGTGTAAGGTAATTGAATGAGTGAAAACATTCACTCGTTTGATAATTATTTTCAATTATTCAAGTAAAAAGATTTACCTATTTTACTTTACAAACAATAAAATAATTATTACTTTATAATTTTTATTTGTTTTAACCTTGTTTCAAGATATGAAATATAAATTTCCACTCATCATGAACATATATTAGAACTTTGCATGAAGTACGATTAGTCTCGCATTTATTACATTCCAGGAATCTATAGTATATGAAGTTTAAAATTATAAATCATACTGTGTAAGGTAATTGAATGAGTGAAAACATTCACTCGTTTGATAATTATTTTCAATTATTCAAGTAAAAAGATTTACCTATTTTACTTTACAAACAATAAAATAATTATTACTTTATAATTTTTATTTGTTTTAACCTTGTTTCAAGATATGAAATATAAATTTCCACTCATCATGAACATATATTAGAACTTTGCATGAAGTACGATTAGTCTCGCATTTATTACATTCCAGGAATCTATAGTATATGAAGTTTAAAATTATAAATCATACTGTGTAAGGTAATTGAATGAGTGAAAACATTCACGCGTCTCATGCATATAAAATAAATAATATTTATTTGTAAAATCATTATTATTTATTTAATTGATAACCAACTTAACACATTTAATAATAAATATATATATTTATAAACTTCTCATTTATGAAAAAAACAATATGTTAACAATCATAATAAACTAATAAAATTTATGTTTGCATTTTTTTTATTATATAATATAATGACTTGTTTTTTTGTTTTTTGAGCTTTAATGCAATTTCTTTAAGATCATACTTAATTAATGTAAATCTTTTTTCAATATTACTACTTGTTGTCATCAATGTTAAATTATATACGAAATTGATATTTATAAACTTTCAAATATTTTTTCTCACTATTTATTAATTTTATTTGTTATTTATGTTATCTTTAAGCACTTAAAAATAAGTAATACCAAGCAGTTAATTTGAAGAAGAATTTATATCTTTAATGACCATAAAAATGTTAAAAAGAATCAATCTATCAGAAGATAAAACTATAGCCTGCTTAAATAATTAAAATATTTCGTTTATTTAGGTAGTGGCAAGAATTTAACAAATAAAATTCGATGTTGATAAAGTATCTGTATTTATTAATGATGATACTGGAGTAGTAAATATTTAATTCTTAATATAAACATAAATTGACAACGAACATTATTAAAAACTCAGAAAAGGAAAACTTTAAAACGAATATTTTATTTTTTTATTTAGGTGTAGAATCTATAGATAACAGCCCATTCTAGATATTGTTAATGTCTAATAGATATCACAATCATCATTTATTTATTATCATTATTTAAATTTGATCTAATAAAACTTGATTCATGTCCTAAATCCAAAATTAAGTTAAGATTATATTCCCAAATAAACTATAATACAAAATGATGTAAATAAGGAACCATTGGAATAAAGGATTTTTCAATATATGTTGATATAAAGAGAACTTAATCAAACTATATCATTTTAATCACAATTTATAATTAATTAATTTATTGAAACAGAACAATTAATTAATATCAAGTAAACAATTATTGAATTTATTTTTTTAGAAAAGCTCTTCAATTACTTATACAAAAAGGTAATTTGCGCTTTAATGAAGCAGATAAATCATATTTTATCATTTGAAACCAATATAAATATATATAATAAAAAAATAATAAACATAATAATTTACATTCATTATATGTATATATGTATATTTATATTATGAAGTAATAATTATTTATTGAGAAATTTGTATATTATTAAATTTAAATTTGTATATATGAATTTATAATCATAATCATATTTATTTTATTTAAATCATTATTTATTGAATTTTCTCAAATAATTAGATGCTCTCTAATTAAAAATTGTCCTAAATTAAATTTATTATTGAATAACGGGGTTTTAATTCATTATTATATAATTCTAATTTTCCTAATATTAAAAATTTATAATATTAATAATTGGCTTTTTTTATAATATCTTCTTTTTCATGAAAATTCATCATTTTGAATTTTTATTTTTCACACGTTTCTTCTATTTTTTTTATTATTAAAAATAAATATACTTAATATTAAAATTCCTGGTTAATTAGATACAGTACAATACAAATTTCCTGTGGTATCAGCAATTCGAACAGTAAAAATATATTTGTATTAAGGCTTATCAAAAAATTTTGTGCAATTTTTACATTCATATTATTTATTATCTTATTAATAAATTTTTCTGTTACACAATTCACAAGCCTCATAATATAGATTATTTTTTTATGAAATTGATATAATATAACCTCTAATTTCATAAAATTTTTAAAATTTAATGTCATTTTTTTCATCAAAATCTATTTTTATTTGATTAATGTAAGATGTTTACATTTTTGTATTTGTATCTCTAGGTTTTATTTCAACGAAGTTTTTATTTTACTCAAAAAAAAATATAAATTCTTGGAATTAATTAAGTTGTTCAAATTGTGAAATGTCTTATTAATAAATAGATTAATTAGTAAAAATCAAGGATTTATTTCCTAAATAATCTGATATTTTAAGATTTTTAAATGCTGCAATATCGTACTTTTAAAAATCAAATTTTTCTGCTTATTGGCCAAAAAAAGTTATATCAATACTTCTAGAGCTTTAATCATAAACTGTTATAGTTTTTTTTACAACGTTTTCATTTTATCTATTTTTTATATAAGATGGTTTTTAGACATTAATTACAAAACATAATATATCTATTTTTTAATCTGGTTCCATAAAATCAATTTATTTTATTAGTTTTAAATCAAAAATACATCCTTATATTGATTAATCATCATAAATTTCTGTAATTAAAGAATAATCTTCAAAATGAATTTAATATTCACTTTCAAATTAACTATTTTTTGATTTTCTATTTGTTTTAATTATTCCATTTTCGAATTCATAAACTTTCCCAATTTCAATCTTTTCAAAAAATGTTTCACATTATTTATTAAAGAATATTCCAGATATTGTTAAATTTTCTTAATCTATGATTTCAATTTGAAATAATTGACCTTTTCCACTTTTAAATTAAGTTATATTTGATTTTAAAATAACCCTCCCTCTAATTTTAAACTTTCTTAAATTAGAATAGAGTGATGAAATGCATCCTATTTATTGTTTTTATTATTTTATATTTTTTTCATCATTATCCTATTTTAATATTTTTATTTAATTAATTTATTTTTCTTCAATAATTTAACTATATTATTATTGCACACTCTATTCTATTTATTGATGTTATTTTAACTTCAAGTTTTAATTTATTTTTATTAGAAGTATTTCTGAGTTACCATGGGGATTTTAATAATTCTAAAATAATATTTAAGTGTAAATTTTTTACCGTTTCTTAATATAAATTAAAATTTATAGGTTATCCCACAAGTTTTGATTTTTCAAACACCAACTTGAACTTTGTTATTATATGTAAATTTTGTTTTGATCTAAATTCTAACACCTCTATAATAGGTTTATTTTCATCAATTTTTTCTGAAATAGTTTGGTCTAAGTTGATTATAGAAATATCTAATGCAGAGTATCCGTCACTACATTTACATTTAGTGATCTATCCTAATTTCTCAGATACTTTTGCATCTAATAATTATATTATTTAAATAAACATCGGAAGACATTCCGTGTTGCTTTCTACTATGTTTTTAATTGCATTTTTAGATAAATGCGTGATTTTCTATATCATATATTTTTATTTAAATAATATCACTAATATTGAATTTTAATTTAAGTATTTAATATGAGTGTACAATAAGATTTCAATAAAAAAGAATGTTCTATATTATAAAATTATTTTAATATAATTATAATATTTAATATATAAATTATTAATACATTATTGTAATTTACAATATATATATAATGAATATATTTTCTTATGCTTTAATATATATTGAATGAAATTATGTGTCTACATTTTATATATATATAATATATATAGAAAAAAAAAATTAATAACTCGATATTGACATTTTGTTTATTAATACAAATTTTAATGATTATTGATAACATATATTTTACCCTTAATATAAGTTAACTTGCTTATGAAAAAATAATCATTTAACTTTTATCACGCAAATTATAATTCACAAATTAATTATGACGCACTTTTTTTGTTATTTATGCATATATAATTATATAAATATATATATAAGATATTTTTCTTTATAAAAAATTTATGAATCAATCTGATCTAGAAGACTTTGAGAACTTAGTACTATAACCTTAAAGTTCCATTGAATAACAAATCAGCTAGATAGAAAGTAATTTTTAAACAAAAGATTCTCTCATTCAAGATAGTTTAAAAATATCAGAAAAAAATGAACACTCTATCTTCCTAAAATGTTAATAGAAAAAAAATTTATCAATATAATAAGTGGTCTCTATTAATATAGAAAAAGGAAATGTTAATTAAATTGATAACATTGATTCATTTGTAAAAAATTAAAATAAAAAAATAAACATTAGAATTACAACACTTAAATAAATTAGGGTGAAGAAGTACAGGTTTTACCCCATAAAAGTAGTATTAAAACTAAAAATGATATTCTTCAAAGGAATGGTAATGAATAACAATAGCGATGGTCTTCATTAGAAAAACGAGTTGGTTTGATATCTGATCCATTACTAGATGAAAAACAATTAATTTGTAATTAATTATATTAGATCATAAAAAAAATTGGAGTAAATTCTGCTTAGAAAAAGCATTCTATTTTGGAAGATGTTCTTTAACTATGTATTATGTATTTGCCTGAGATAAGAGGCCATAATTATCAATTATTTAATTAATTGCTTTATATAGAATTTAAGGAATAATTTAATTTATAAAGATCTTTTGAAGCATTTAAAAGAAGGTATTTTAATTTCTTAAAAATTAAATAAGATTTCATCATTTATCATTATTTTCAAACAGTTGGACCATAGAAAATTTATAAAAAATTTTAAATATACTATATAATTATCAATAAAATTAATTCTTATAAGAATATTGTATTGAGTATGATATAATAAGAAATATTATAAAATTTCCTCCATTTGTGAAATAAAAAAAAAGTGTATAAAAAAACAGCAAAGTTATTTCTTAAATCAAAGATTAATCAGAAAAGAAAAAAATAGTACTATCGAGTAATATGTTATATAATTTTTCCATTAGTTACAACAAAGATATTACTATAATATTTTGATATAACA